ATCTCTTACTTCTGTGAGAGGTAGTTGTGAAGTAACTCATGTTCAGGTTGTGCTCAGCAATCTTTTTGACATTCGATTCACTACCCAACCCCAAATGAAACTGCCATCTGGCTGTAGTCAAACGCAAACTCCAGGCCAAAAGCTTGATCTTAACTTATTTGCATATATAATGTGCATACCACTGCCCCCAAACCAAGCAGGCTATCAATGAAATATTCCCCCTCTCCTTTAAGTCTTTGAAATCCAACTTCTTTCTTTAAAAAAGTCATGTGAACCTATTATTCTTACAAATTATCATTCCATCTCCAGCACCACCTTTTCTCTTCCTTGAATGTGTTATTAGCTCCAACATACTTGCACATCTTTCCCAGATTGCAAAGCTTCCCACCAGGTTTCTGTTCCTGCCATTGTGCTGAATGACCTCCTCTGTGACTGTGATTATGATAAACTCTCCCTCCTTGTCTTTGTTAACCTGTCTGCAGCCTTTGCCAGTGCCTGCACCATCCTCCATCAACCCTTCACCACTCATCTATCTGGGGAGTGGGGGCAGCAGCTGTCAGCTGGTTCCATTCATATCCATCGGAGCCAGAGAATCCTCTGTAACAATATCTCTTCCTGCCCATGCACTGTTCCCTTTGGTATACCCCAAGGATCCATCCTTAGTCACACAAGCTTGCGGGGGGCATAAGAACTGACTGTAAACATTCCTATAGGTATGTGAAGACCAAGAGAATGGTGAAAACTAATGTAGGTCCTTATGGTGATAAATGGTAGAATACTGCAGGGAGTTTCTACACCTCCTGACTCCCCAAAGCCTGTCCACCAAGTGCAAGGCACAAGTCAGGAGTGTGATGGAATATTTCCCACTTTACTGGATGGGTGCAGTTGTAACAACACTCAAAGCTTGACACCATCCAGACAAAGCAGTCTGCTTGATTTGCACCACATCCACAAGCATTCACTCCCTCCATTACCGACATTCAGTAGCAGCAGTGTGTGCCATCTACAAGAGAGACTGCACAAATTCAACAAGATTCTTTAGATAGTACCTTCCAGACCCAAACCCACAACCACTTCCATCTAGGAGGACAAGGTCAGCAGATATGAGAATACCACCAGCTCCAAGTTCTCCTCCAAGCCGCTTACCGTCCTGACTTGGAAGTATATTGCCGTTCCTTCGCTGTTGCTGGGTCAAAATCCTGGAATTCCTTCCATAACGACACTATGGGTCAACCTGTATGGTCTGCAGTGGTTTAAGAGGGCAGCTCGTCACCACCTCCCCAAAAAGTGACTAGGGCGGGGCCATAAACGCTGGCCAGCCAATGACGTCCATGAGTGAATAAAATAAAAGTTTTAAAGAGGGGACCAAAGAAATGGCAGATGAATTAAATTCATATTTGGCTTCTGCCTTCACAAAGGAATAATGTACCAGAATGATGAGGAACACAGGGTTTAGTGAGAGGAAGGAACAGGAGAAAATTTTGTATTAGAGAAATGGTGTTGGAGAAATTGGTGGGCTTGAAGGGTGATGAATCCCAAGCCCTGATAATCTATGACCCAAGTATTTTAGGAAGTGTTTCTAAGAATAATAGATGCATTGCTGGTCATCTTCAAAGATCCTTTAGACTGTCAAACAATTCCTACGGATTGGAGGGTAGCTAATGTAACCCTACTATTTAAAAAAGGAGGTAGAGAAAACCAGGAATTATAGACCAGTCAGTCTGATGTTGCCTGTGGGAAGATGCCACAGTCAATTATCAAGGATTTTATAGCTGAGCAAGAAAACAATAGTAGAATCAGACACAGTCAGCATGGATTTTCAAAAGGAAAATCATGGTTGACAAATCTACTGAAATTATTAGAGGATGTAAGTAATAGAATTGATCCGGGGAGCCAGTGGATGTGGCTTATTTGGATTTATTGAAAACTTTCAACAAAATCCCACATAAGAGATTAATGTTAAAATTAGAGTGCATGCAATTGCTGGTAGTGTGCTGAGATAGTAGAAAATTAGTTTGCAGGCAGGAAACAAAGAGTAGGAATCAATTCTTAACAGGACTAGACAGGTTAAAAATCATCTTATTTGTAGAACTCTCCAGGGGCTCACCCCTCCCTATAGCGTGCCCTGCCCCCACCCCCCACCTCCCACCCCCCACCCCGTACCCCGTGGCATAACTGTGTGAAATATTGGTGATGTGGAGTACCAGTGTTGGACTGGGATGGACAAAGTCAAAAATCACACAACACCAGGTTATGGTCCGACAGATTTATTTGAAATTACAAGCTTTCGTAGCACAGCCTCTTGGTCAGGTGCAGTCATTGCCTGGCACTTGTATGGCAAGAATGTTACTTGCCACTTGTCAGCCCAAACCTGAATATTGTTCAGGACTTGTTGCATCCAGGCATGGACTGCACGTTTCAGGTCCTTGTCACTTGCTGTTGAGAAAAATTCTTCCTCACATCTTCCCTCTGTGTCTCAACCAAAACCTTCAATCTGGGTCCCTTAGTCCCTGTACTGTCAGCCAATGGAAACTGCTTTCCTTGTCTACCTTATCCAAATCGTTATAATCCTGTCCTCCTCAATCTCCTTGGCTCCATGAAGAACAACCCCAGCTTGTCACTAAAATCCCTCATCACTGGAACCATTATGGGAGGTGATGGCCTAGTAGTATTATTGCTGGACTGTTAATCCAGAGACTCAGATAATGTTCTGGGGACCAGGATTCAAATCCCACCATGGCAGATGGTATAATTTGAATTCAATAAGTATCTGGAATTAAGAGTCTATGATGACCATAAATCCATTGTCGATTGTTGTAAAAACCCATCTGGTTCACTAATATCCTTTAGAGAAGGAAGCTGCCATCCTTACCCGGTCTGGTCTACATGTGACTCCAGATCCACAGCAATGTAGTTGACTCTTAACTGCCCTCTGGGCAATTAGGGATGGGTAATAAATGCTAGCCAGCAACGCCCTCATCCCGTGAATGAATAAAGAACCCCGCGGACCCTCCCATCCTTCCTAGAATGTGGGAACCAGAACTAGACACCATTCTCCAGTTGGGGCCTAGCTTTATAAAGGTTCAGCATAAAGTACCTTGCTTTTGTACTCAGTGTCTTTCTTTATGAAGTGCAGACCACACTCTTTTTGCAAATGACTGTCTCAGTATGTTCTGCCACTTTCAGACTTCCAGATCTGTTTTGTACATTCTTTAGAAATGTGTCTTTGAGCCTGTTTTTCTATTGGAATGCATCATCTCATTCTTCTCTATTAAACTCCGAAGAGTCAGTTTTACAGCGTGGAACGAGCCCTTCGGCCCATTGTGTCTGTACCAGTCATCAAGCACCTGTCTATCTAGTCTAATTTCCCAGCGCTCGGCCCATAGTCTTGTGCGCTGTGATGTTTCCAGTGATCTGAAATCTACTAAAATGTTGTCATCGTTCTCACCTCTACCACCCTTTCAGGCAGAGTTCCAGTTACCCACCACGCTCTGGATGAAAAATATCCTTACCTAAATCCCATCTAAACTTCCTGCCTTTTACATTAAATCTGTTAAATCTGGTTATTGGTCCCTCCATTAAGGGAAATTGGTCTCCCAATCTACTACGTCTACGCTGCTCAGATCTTCATACACCTCAATCAGATCCCCTCAGCCTTCACTCCTTTAAGGAAAACAGCCCAAGCCTGTCTGGCCTCACTTCATATCTGAATCGCTCCAGCACAGACAATATCCTTATGGATCTCTTCAGCACCCTCCAGTGCAGTCATGTCCTCCTTATAGTATGCTGACCAGAACTGCACACAGTAGACCTGCAGTGGCCTAAGTAATGGTACATACAGCTCCAACATACCTACATCCCTGCTCTTATTATCAATGGCATGACTAATGAAGGTAAGTATGCTAAATACTTTCTTAACCACTTTATCATATCTGTCCTGTTGCCTTCAAGGATCTATGGACATACTCACCAAAGTTCCTCTGGTCCCTTGTACTCTCTTCTTGGGTCCTACCATTCAGTGTGTACACCTTTGCCATTTTAGACCTTCCAAAATGCATCACCTCCCACTTTTCAGGTCATTAAGCTGTGTAGCTTTACCACCTCCAGCACAGTTTCTATTATGGGGTGAAAAGGTAAGTTTAAAAGCATTAGTGTCACTTTTGCACCAAAGGTCTTTATCTTCCTTTTGTCTGAAGCTGAATTCAAGTGGACAACTCATTTTCAAGTCCTTTGTGTCACCTTTTGCTAAAATGCCTGTATACTTCAGGGTGTTCAGAAACCTCGAAGTACAATTCTGTGTCCAGCAAGGTTGTCCATGTTTTACAGAAACAGAGCATAAAGAAAATGCGATAGAGAACGTCTATGGAATCTTGGGATTTCTCTTCCTGCCCTCTGAGTATGACTCAGGTCATTTTCAGACATAATACGTAAGCAAAACAAGAAGCAGTGAGGTGGCTTGTTAATATCAGCACAATGCTAAGCGCAGGGAAGTTCCACTAAAGGAAATACTAGCAGGTGGTAGTTATATGGCAACTTGTTAATATGTTCCAGTGCAATGATAAATCTGTGCTGTTTAATCCAATTACCTTGTGATGAGTCTTACACAAAGCACACTCCCAATCATGGGTCAGTCATGAGGTTCGCTTACTGGAGTGGGCTGCAGTCGGTGAGACCAAATGTTGTGGTCTGTGTACAGTGTTGCTTTTTGTCTGTAGAATGCTTTGTCTGCAAGTAGACTCAAATTTATTATATTCAACATGTTGTTGTGGGCTGTTGGATTAAACCTTTCTTTTTTTTATCGGCAGGAATCAAATGTCCTAATAGCAGCAAACAGCCAAGGCACAATAAAGGTGAGTAGATGCCAAGCAGAAATAGAGAAGTGTCTCCCAGCCAGTGATCACAGTATGAACATACAGCGCATTTGCATTTAGAATGTGTAGACCTTGAGAATAGTCACGAGGGATAGTGTCTGGTTTTGTTGGCCGGGAGAGTGTGACTGGTATCTGATTTGTATTGCCGGCAGTTTAATTTGTCTCCCCTGAGAGCTGTTTTTCACTGACCGTGTTCTTATTTCAGGTTCTGGAACTCGTCTGAGGGGGAGCCAGCCTGCTTGATACCACACCCCTCTGGTCATCACTTCGGTGAAGCCTTCCTTGGAATTGATTAAAATGTGTAGCTGGCATCCCAACCTCCTGTTCATCATGGTCCTTCACCAGCAGTGGCATATGCCAGGACTGTGTGACCATCCACGCTCCTTGTAGGAGCAGCAGCTTGAAGGAATCATTGACCAATCTGTTCACAAACAGAAATCTCTGCCCAGAAAGGAGCTTGCATTTCCATAGCACGGTGGGCCAAGTGTAACTGCAAAGGTGTAAAGTCTGTCTTGTCTTTGAGAGATGATCGCAATAGCCAGTGCGATTGGATTCCCAAGGGACAGGGCTAGAGAGAGGAGGCAGTGCCAGCCCATTCTGTTTCAGTTCAGAAACACTTTGCCCAGGAACCCTGACCAGGTTTTGGTTTCTGGGCTGCATTTCTCTTCTGACGGTGACTGCGTTTGATGTCATTATTTTTAACCTGAGTTCTGTTCAAACTGGTGAATGCGTGTGAACCATCGCCACAGTGTGTTTTCTTTCGACGTGTGTCGGCCTCAGTGAGTTGAATGGGTGTGTTCTTCGTCAACACAGTCTTCTGTGAGACAAGCAACAATCAGAACAAACTGTAGTAGTGCTGTGGAGTCTCTGTGATCTCTTGGGCTTTAAACTTATCAAACTGGTGCAGCATTTGAGGGAATGTCTAATAACAGCACATTGGACAGATCACTTGAATTGCAGGAGCTGTGGAGGAACGCAGTTTTCACCAGGCCAGCGGCTCTCGATTCCTAACTCTGGGGGCTGTGCAATGGGCTCTAACTGCAGGGACTCGACAAGAACCCCTCACTATCTTCGGGGGAATCAGGGCAAGGGGCCCCCAACTGGGTGCGGGGTGGGGGGAGGGAGTGGGGCGAGGAGGCGGTGGGGCAGTGGGCCCCTGACTCTGTGTGTGTGTGTGTGTGTGTGTGTGTGTGTGTGTGTGTGTGT